CTCATTGAATTTTCTTGGTTACTGTATACAAGTGTAAGCCATCCAAAGCCATTACATGTATATTTATATTATATGGAATAATATTTGTATACCATACATATATATAGAATAATTATTCTAGGTATGTTTACCAAATATGGCTATCAACTTAATATATGGCTACATCTACCACATCTTTTTACCAAATATGGCTTGATCTGTTTGCCTTATATGGCTACATCTGCCACATCTTTTTACCAAATATGGCTTGATTTCGCTAAAAGTTAATCACATGAAAGTCTGTTTTACCAAATATGGTTATGGCCTTATATGAATGTTTCTATCACTTTGGAATATATTAACCCTTTTGGTAACTTTCACAAAAAAAACCTGCATAAATTTGTTTTCACCACGTCTTTAAAAAAAATAGTCAAGATGTGTTTTCAATGCAAAATTACATCTGGTTCAACAATTACCTAAATATTGACACCAGTTTAACTGTTATTGTAATAGTGACATGGCTTCTGTTGTGCATTGGTTTCAGATTTGTGTAGAGATCAGTTATTCAATTTGGTTGGCTGTAGTATAACCAGATAACGTAGGATTTATTTCATTTCCTGTGGTGCTATCAAAATATTTATTACATTTACTTACTTCGGGAATTTTCATTGTTTTACCAAACACTCTTGCTGTAGAGTTTTAGCCATATATTTTTTATCAAAACAAACATTTTGATAGAAATAAGTAGATATTGTCCCAAAATGTTAGAGCAGACATCATTTTTTCAAAATTGAATGTTAATTTGAATAATTATCCTTAATGATGGAACAAACAATAGTGATGACAGAGAAATTTGATGTTCAAGTTCCAGTCGTTTGTGAATACTACGCACTGCACATAAAGACAATGCATTATGGGAGACCCCATCTCCCCAGTTGTATATAATGGAAAACTATTATCACCTTGGAAACTCAATAATGTACGACTTTCACGTAAGAGCAAAATTTTGAGATATGAAATAATCAAAAAAGCCAGTTTTGAAATTTTTTTTCATTTTCGGTAACCTAATGTGGATGTGTAGGCAGTGAACCTCAATAACACCCAGTAAATATACACCACAGTATAGTTGACAATAATCTATCTCATTTGTGTTTGGGAGACAGATTTCACCAAAATTCGTGAATCCAATGACTCTACCATGGAGTTGCCAAATCTGCTGGATTTTTAACTGCTATGCAGGTGATGAAAGTGTGTATGCGTGTTATTTTAAAGTATCGATAGTTTCATAGAAAAACAGAAAACAATACACTTTACTAAAAAAGTATGTAATTTCTCATTGTTAAAGTAACAGATTTTTTTTATTACTAATTTTTTAAGTTTTTTTGGGAATAAAAATAATTTTGATAACAGATGTTTTTCTTGTCAACATGCATATTCACCATAAAAAATACAAATATTGGAGGGGGGCTGTCAGCTCACTATCATTTCAGATTTTTAATTAATTTTTCTAATACAAACGGTAAGAGAGGTTTTTTATAAACTGATTTAAAAATGGTACAAGAACTAATCTTAATATCATAGGGTTAAATTCAGATATCACCTATACATGTCAGTCTGTACTCCAGCAACACATAACAGTCGATCAGATGACCACAACCTTCTGGATGGTGTATATTGAAAATACAAAAAGCATAATGTTTAAAAGCTGGATTATATTCACACTCTTCTTACTATTTCAGTAAAAATATTCACACACAAACAGATTTATTTCTGTGATAAATAGTGTGTGTGTATATATATATATAATGTATGATACAAATATGCAAAAACAATGAGACTGTTTTCTTCCAAACAGTTACTATACCCTGTAAATTGCATTGATACATTCAATGCAAGAAAGTTGGATAAGTGGTGAGCAAAGCCTACTCCATAATTTTAAGTGGTTCACTCCTATATAAAATATAATTGCTTCTACTCAGCAACCTACCAACTAAGTCACTTCCTCTCTTGGATGCCATTTTAAATTTTTATTCTTCCTCTCGTCAAAGTGAAAGATAAAAATGTCATGTGACATATTTGTACCAATGCCATTACTAAGGTGTGCCAAAATTATTACGTTGATTTCTCATAGCATGTGCATTCCAGTCTAACTGTGATATCAGCCTCTGTGCTCCCTTTTCCATGTGGTCATTTAGCGGTTCTCCATTCTCGTTCAAAGCTTCATGAACTTTAGGTATACCAAAAATGTTTGAGACGCTGAGGCACCCTAACTCACCCAAGAAAGCTCTGAGTTGCATTGCTGATCTCATTCCACCATAGATTCCTATAGAATTGAAATCAACAAGAGATATTCAGTACTACACTCTGTGTCTATGTTTCCTGTATAATGCATATCTAGTGGAATGGCCCTAGTACCTGTATAATGCATATTTAGTGGAATGGCCCTAGTACCTGTATAATGCATATTTAGTGAAATGGCCCTAGTACCTGTATAATGCATATCTAGTGAAATGGCCCTAGTACCTGTATAATGCATATCTAGTGAAATGGCCCTAGTACCTGTATAATGCATATCGAGTGAAATGGCCCTAGTACCTGTATAATGCATATCGAGTGAAATGGCCCTAGTACATTTGTACCTGTATAATGCATATCTAGTGAAATGGCCCTAGTACCTGTATAATGCATATCTAGTGAAATGGCCCTAGTACCTGTATAATGCATATCTAGTGAAATGGCCCTAGTACCTGTATAATGCATATCCAGTGAAATGGCCCTAGTACCTGTATAATGCATATCTAGTGAAATGGCCCTAGTACCTGTATAATGCATATCTAGTGAAATGGCCCTAGTACCTGTATAATGCATATCTAGTGAAATGGCCCTAGTGCCTAGATAATGCATATCTAGTGGAATGGCCCTAGTACCTGTATAATGCATATTAAGTGAAATGGCCCTAGCGCCTAGATAATGCATATCTAGTGAAATGTCCCTAGTGCCTGGATAAAATATATCTAGTACCGGTACAATGGCCCTAGTACCTTGACAATGTATATCTAGTGGGATGGCCCTATGACCTGGATAAACTTTATAATTCTGATGTGTGGTCGAGGTCAGGTATTTTCCAACACTGGAATAAGCTGCTGTATTACTTATTACATTTATTATTGTTTTTGTTTGTTTGTTCGTTCTGTTCTCACTATGGATCTTTAAGTCTGAATTAATGTATAATAATAATAACAACAAGCCATATATATAATTTAAGATATATAGTTTTTCTATTATAGGAATATAGCTGGAATATAACCATGTCAGGAATATGATTGTTTAACATTAAAATGATTGACATTTGTATCTGATCAAATGAGTACTTGTCCATATTGAAAGATACTGTAAAGTGACTAATTTAAAGGGGTTAATTTTTCACTGGATTTGAATTTTCCTTATTTCGCTTACTGAAAAATGAGCTAAATTAAAACCCAGTGAATATGTGAAATTTAGCATAGAACACATTATCTAAATGATAAATACATAAATTTTAAACCCACTGAATATGTCAGAAATGGTAAATCAGCAAAATTTAAACCCAGTGAAAATTAGTCATTTTACAGTATATGACATTATGTATCACGTTTGTAAGAAGTTAAAAAGTAATTGGTCAATGTACAGTATTCCTGAAAACTGGTTTCAAACAAGAATAGAACCTGAATTAATAGCCCCAGTGTTCATAATTCAAACTTGAAAATATCAAAAATAAATAACAAATAAAACCAAAACAATCTACAGTATTCTTTGCACCTTTCCTATATAATCCATAAACATAGAATTTATTCTTACCCGGGGAATAACAGACAATACCACTAGCTTTCCAACTGTATGAACTGCCACCAAAGTAGTCCATCATATTGGACAATGCTGGGGGTATGGAATGATTGTATTCACCGCTGACAATGACGTAGGCATCAGCGTCTTTAACCTGCTGCTCGGCTTTAACTAGCCAATCAGGTGCACCTTCACGATCTTTGCCGTAATGGAATACTGGCTTATGCAACATTGGGAATGACATAACTTCTGGATCTACAAACAAAGTGGCGAGAAATTATTTTATCAATATCAGCAGTGAATCAAATATTTGTAAAAATACTTTTGTTTTGGATCCATTCCAAGTAAACACACCAAGCCACTTTATATTTAGTTGAATTAGACAATGACCAAAACAGTCTCAATGATTTCATTTTCATTTTGTTGATCTGAGAAGTCTAATTTATAATTAATTGTTCTACTAGTATTTCAAATTGTGTTCTGTGTGTACCGGCCATTGGAAGAGAATGGCATTCAGCTTCGTCTAATAATATTACGTAGTTAATTTAGATATTGAAATTTTTAATTAAAGCAGACCAAAATTTAAAAACTGAAAAAGTGATGACCAGACAGGTATGGTGGCAATAAACAAGAAATAACAAATAGTCAAACACAATCCTGCAAAGAAATATATACGTTTCCGACTAATGTGTCTCTAAAATGCCCGCGAAATGCCCAACTATGCATTTGTGCTTTTGGTTTCTGTTGTCCTAAAATCAACATATATCATGTTCAAGTAAATAAATTTTAAGTTGTGGCCACACTACCCTCTTCCTTTGGCAGTGAACTGTTTCTGGCTTTATAGCTTTTTTTTATGGTGAAACTGCACCATCAAACATCAGACAAAGTTGAGAAACCGTGAATACCAATGAATGGCGTTTTTAGGTGAGTGAATTTGATTACAAAATAATAAATCCAATAACATCTAAAACGAGACACCCTGAATTTTTGTCTTGAATGTGTGTTTAAATATTAGACAATATCAATGAAACCCACCAAAACAATAAGGTTTAAATATTAGACAATATCAATGAAACCCACCAAAACAATAAGGTTTAAATATTAGACAATATCAATGAAACCCACCAAAACAATAAGGTTTACATCGGAAAATGAGTAGTTGTGTTTTCTTGCATCAAATTTGAAATTTTACAATAGAAGATTTTGATATTACACATGAAAAAATAGACCATTGGCCTGTTGCACAACGGCTATTATGCTAAAGATTAGTGCTGTATATGACAAATACCCCAAAAGGCAGTGAGTGAGACAATAAAACATAATGATAAAAGTGGAATTTTTTACAGAAATAACAGAAATATTCAATAAAATTAGAATCAAAAAGAGCTTAAAAAGAACTCCAGTGTGTTGAGAGAATAACATAACATGATATTTGCAATTATCTGAATTTGTAATACATGTATATACCAAGTTTTGTTAAAATATGTTGAATGGTTCTTGAAATAGCACCCAAAAGCTATAATTTCACCAACTGATAGGCAAATTATCTAATATGCATAAATTTAAATGGTTCTCAAGATATCCCCAAAATAGCCTACCGGTAAATATTGGTATGTAAATTAGGCAATTTGCATAATTTCCCACCAAAATCAATCATGTCAATACACATTTAAATATGTTGAGTGGTTATGTTTTCATTACAATCACAATAGACCAATCAAAGAAAACTTGGAACTCCCATGTGCTATGTGAGAATGAGAAACAGTTGACAGAACAAATGGGAAACATTACATATCTCCCTGTGAGCATATAATTTCAATATGACATCATTGTATAATCTTCCCAAGTTTTGTTCATTTTCCGACAACTGTAATGCATTAAGGAGAAGGTAATAACAAAAATCATGAATTTATGAAATTTTTTATAAATTTGGCCCCTTTTAGTGACTGGGTGAAGTATCATCCAAGCTACATGTGTACCAAGTATCAAATAATTGGTTTTGAAGAACAAGTCAAAAGTACTATTTTTGATGAAAAATGACAAAATATTTGCTAAAAATAGAGAATTGAAGATGTCTACACAAAATGAACAAATCTGATAGAGGTCCACCCAACGTATATAACCATGCTGGTTTGAGAGCAATCGGACTACCAGTTTCGGAGAAGAAGTCGAAAATAGAATTGACCAAAAATTACAAAAAATATTCGCTAAAAATAGAAAATTGAAGATATGAACATGAAATGAACAAATCTGATAGAGGTCCACCCAAGGTATATACCACGTGAGTTTGAGTGCAATCGGACCATCAGTTTCAGAGAAGAAGTCGAAAATAGCATTTTTGACCAAAAATAACCATTTTAAAATATTCGCCAAAACTAGGAAATTGAAAATTTCCTTACCAAATTAATACAAGCAGCCGCTCGGCTGAGATAGCTCGCTGTTAGCAATGCACATTTCAATTAAAGAACAGAAGATATCATTAGAAAATGAACAATATGCATAGTATCAATGCAATGGGACTTGCTGTTTTCAACAAGAATTCAAAAATATAATTTTTCACCATAAATGATTGTGGTTTTTAACAAGAAGAAAATATCACTTTTTACCAAAAATTACAAAAATATTCACCAAAATTAGATAATTAAAGATATCATTACAAAATGAACAAATCTGAGAAAGGTCCACATGTAGTACCTATATATGTAATATCAAAGCAATTGGACTTGCGGTTTTTAACAAGAAGTTGAAAATATCACTTTTTACCAAAAATGACAAAACTATTCACCAAAATTAGAGAATTGAAGATATGATCATGAAATGAACAAATCTGAGGGAGGTCTACCCAAGGTACACATATACCAAATATCAAAGCATTCAGGCTTGTAGTTTTCAAGAAGTCGAAAAAGTAAAACATTGACCCGGACGACGGACAATCACTCATATGATAAGCTCCGCTCGACAAAGTCGAGAGCAGAGCTAAAAACTGATAGAGGACAATCAAAGGCACATGCACTATCAATATCAGCACTGTAGACCACTTAGTGTCATAGTAGCATAGAAGAAATTTTTGAGTTTGGCATCCACACACCAAAAATCGAGTCAAGCGGTTCAGCGATTTTTGAGAAGTCGTGCACAGACAGACAGACAGACAGACAGACAGACAGACAGATAGATGGACGACAGACGCAGGACAGAAACCCATCCCATAGGCTCAGCGGACCTATGGTCCATTGAGCCAAAAATGAACTAAAAAATTGACCAATGAAAAATGTGCATTCACATATTGGGTCATTGAATTAGTACTAAATCAACACTTTTTTTCTTCTATTATTTCTCTTACCATACATGATTTCACATTGATTTATAAGTATCAAGCAGACAGCAAACTATTTCATCTAAATTTGTGGGAAAAAAATAGTGGAAGTTTATTTTATTTAGATTATATAAGAGTCAAAATCATTAAATAAAACCATTGACAGTATTACAATCCCACTACAATGTGTGCCTTGTACCAGAATACCAGAATATGCAAATGAGAAGCTTTGTTGAGAAATGCAATAATTGACTGCTAGTAGATAACAGCTTTGAAAGAAAATGTCTTTGATTAAAATATTTATAGGTAGGCACAGTACATTGTCACCTGTCACCCCCCCCCCCCGATCTCAAAATGGTCCACCCTTTACAATGACTGTGCAGAATTCTTTCAACTCTGGAAATGTTGTAATTTGTTATATACAAGATCATTCTGTATTCTGTCAGCGGTATGGCGGCTAAGTGACTGACAGAGCAAGTAGTCAGTCATAAAAATAGTCTATGCGTAATAATGCACGAGTTGCAGTTCAATATGACGGGGTCGAGACAAATAACACCCGTCAAAGAATAAACTTACTACCATCTAGAAGCAGAACGGAGCTCTGTAGTGTGTGACCCCGACCAGGGAGCTGTAAAGTTCCCTTCCGCGACTTACCAAATAGAGTTACGTCATGCCCAGTTTTTTCCAGTTGATTCACCATGAATTTGGCAACCCTTAGACCTAGCCTATTCTCGCGGACAGTTCCAAGAAATAATACAATTTTCAAAGGCAACTTTGACACTGTGTACGACGCCATGTTGTGGATACGATCAATTGGCAAAGACCTTGAACGATAGTAGTAACGTTCAGTATCGTAGAGGGCAGTATTCATATTAATAGTATTAGCTGCGCACATTCAAAACACAAAGTTACTTACAAAGTTCTTACAAAGTTAATCATAGGAATCAATCAGATATAATAATGAATAATCAACTATTTTATATCATTCACTCTGTTCATTAGTATGTTCTTATTTTTGAATTTTAAAACCGTTAAATTTGCTGTAACTTGTTTATTCATATAACAAGAATTCATAGCCATACAGAGATCACAATATTACCTTTTTCAGACAGTACTTTGTATCACATATTCACCATATGTCAAATTGTTAGATATTAAAATATATTCTTCTCATATAGGTAACAATGGTGAAACGATCTAAAACAGACAAATGATGATATAACACTCCATTTTATACATCGATTGTCTCCGGTGTAATCCATGCGCCGCGTTCTGTTCGAAGGAATTCGAAATCGCGGTGGAACCAACTAGTGAAACACATGTACCTGGTTTACCTCATTTGCGGCAACACTGTGAATTCACGTTTTACAATAAGAACACGGATTTTTGTTTACATTGTTTACAATGCTGTGGTCTAAAATGAACATTTCCGTCTAAAATGAACATTTCGGTCTAAAATGAACATTTCGGTCTAAAATGAACATTTCGGTCTAAAATGAACAAAATGTTGTTATGGGTCTTTAGACAATCATTGTGATGTAATTATAGTTTTATTAGATCTGAGTTCTGCTTAGATGCGATTTATCACCCCATACTTCTAAAACGATTACAGACTAGGTATGGGGCCAAGGGTGTTGCTTTAAATTGGTTTTCATGATTGTAGAACTCAATATGTTTCAAGTTGTATTCATGGTGTATCATGGAACCATGGGAACTAATGTATGGTGTGCCACAGGGTCGTGCATTAGACCCAATTCTGTTCATTCTCTATTGTGCTTCATTGGAAGATATCACGAGAAAACATTTCATGATGTATGTCGATGATACACAATTATATATCACGTGTAAAAACACTGAAATGTCTAGACCTGTGATTGAGGCGTGCATTGATGAAATTTGGAAATGGATGGTTGGTTTTCAATGACAGGAAAACTGAAGTGATAAAAATGCTAATTTCCTTAGGAATCCATGTAAAGGCGTCATTTAATGGAAAAAAAATACCATTCCCGGATTTTCCCAATAATTTATAACAGCATGCTGTTATCGCATCTACTGACATGTTGGTACAGCGCCCTCGCCGATAGACTTATCCGAACGAAAGTTATCCGTCGGCGGGGCACCGTAGTGCGAAAATCTCGGCAACTGCTGCACCGAAATTTAACAACGTAATTATTTGTTTATCCAACTCGTTTCGAAATAAGAGTTTAGTGTTTGTGTTCAGTATATATACATGTTTCTCAAAATACTCAACGCTACAAGCATTAATCTTAGATAGACTTAAAGTTGTGTAGTAGTACTTAGAAAAGTTTTGTTTGAAGCCTTTTAACATAATACTGTATGTGTACTTTAATAACTCCACCAATCAGTTCGGTAGTCGGTTGAGATTCTAATTTCAGTATCTTAGGGTGTCATCAAGTAGCCTAATCGCACTCGGGATTTTCTGTTTGAATATCGGAGATGGATTATATTACGAAAGGTATACTAAAGTATTCATATGCCGCATTTTCTATTATAAATTGAGATTAGTCTGAGGCGCACATCGGACCTTGAGTTGTTTCCTGTATCGCCATTAGGTTTCGATTTTATAGGACGATTATTACTGCGTTATATTACTACTGCGTACGAGCGAACTTTGATCACGGAACATTACGTACTTCCCAAATGGGTTGTATTTAGCGCTTTCCCAGACAGAATTTGAAACGAAATGCATGACGGGATTTATTATACTGAATACAATGAACTACTGCGTCATTAGACAGTGACTTGAGTTGCAATTATCAGATTTGATTTTTGAAAAGGCTTTCAACTAAGTTTTATCGAAAATTTTGAAGGACTATTTAAATAATAATTTTGCAAAATTGTTTAAATTAAGTTCGTGAACACTTGGTAATATGTCATGGTTGATGGCATATATTTAAACAATTTATGGTTGACCAAAGATCCATTTCTCAGATGTCTAGGTACTGTCTAGTTGACCAAACATTCATTTCTCAGATGACTAGGTACTGTCTGGTTGACCAAAGATTCATTTTTCAGATGTATAGGTACTGTCTGGTTGACCAAACATTCATTTCTCAGATGTCTAGGTACTGTCTGGTTGACCAAACATTCATTCCTCAGATGTCTAGGTACTGTCTGGTTGACCAAACATTCATTTCTCAGATGTCTAGGTACTGTTTGGTTGACCAAACATTCATTCCTCAGATGTCTAGGTACTGTCTGGTTGACCAAACATTCATTTCTCAGATGTCTATGTACTGTCTGGTTGACAAAACACACATTTCGCAGGTGTCTAGGTACTGGCTTGTTGACCAAACAGTCATTTTTCAGATGTCTAGGTACTGTCTAGTTGCCCAAAGATTCATTTCTCGGTGGTTTAGGTACTGTCTGGTTGCCTAAACATTCATTTCTCAGA